GAATATGGCGCGCGATGCTTATACCCCATTTGGGTTTCCTACCCAGCCCTCTTCCTGTACAACCAACTGGGTTATGTCATTGGTGTTTGCGTTCCCCTTGCTGTTCACCTCCCTAGTAAGGATACCTGGGAGGTGCACACGCTGCACACTGATAAACAACAGCTTGGGTCGAATGCCAGTGTTTCAGTGGACTGAATACCTGTACGTGGCCATCTTGCCTCTGGTGACGGTTTGCTTTTACTGCAATAAGTTTGGTGTGCACCCAGACTATGAAGCCCTTGACAAAGCTGGTAAGAATAAATGTAGCTTATCACTTTGACTCGAAAAAGATCTTCGCGCGATCTTACTCAATGTTTACACAAATTAAGCTCCGGGGATTGAGGTGCGTACCAGCTTAGTTGTTACCGCAGTGAGGTCTTGGTCGAAAGAAGGCAAGTTTCAGGTACAGGCCAGACCCATGCATTTCTTCAGTCAGAAGTAAAAATGTGTAACCGGCTGGATACGCAAGGGACATCCGACAGAATGCCTGGTAATGACCTGTGCATTCTTCCCTGGAAAGGGGGAAGGGGAAGTAGTAACAATCCACTCACTTACGCATCATTCAGAAAACTAGGAAAAGCCTTTGGGGTCATAAGACTTGCGCGCAAATTTAACCTTTTGATTTAATATTTTTGTGGGATAAAGTGATTGTCAAACAAAGGCGACCCGGAACCAGCCATTTCTGGAGTATCATCTCACCAGCTTGATTTTCATTACTAGTTTGATGAGGCCACAATCAATCAGATTCGTATTTTTTTTCCATCTCAGTAAATCAATTTAATGGATAGAGTAGTGAAAGCAATGACTACAACAAAAACTTTTAAGCCCAGCTCCACTTATTCTGGCATTTTTTTTTCAATACCAGTTTTTTTAAACAGCATTCTAACGAAAGATAATTTTACACTCCTACCCCCAGACCCAGATGACCACAATGGCCAAACCAAGATGAAATTGCGCAGGATTTGCCTTACACTTGCTACGACCATTTTTATCTGTACCAGTCCAGCGCGGCTTACCGAGATCGCGGGTGGAAACTTTGAATTGTGGCCTGGAAGCCGGATCATTTTCTTCTTTATTCCTCGGTTGCTGATTTATGGGCAGACCATAATATTCAGTATAGTGTGTGCCTTTTCCTTTCCAAGCTTCTACCAAGAGGCTAAGATTGCAACAAAGAGAATATGCAGCTGCCGTATCCACCGCCTCATCCAGCATAAGACCCTCACTGAACAGTGAAATGATAATTCATTCCCCTTTCGGCTCCTATTTTGTTTCTTTTAACGTAACTTTGGGTAACTGTATAAAAGAGTACTTCGCAGCCCTCAAATGACTCCTTTAACGGGGATTTGTGTTTACGGTTCTGTCCCCATTCGCATAAGCGCTTTATATCCACCTGTAAGAGTTACAGGAATGTCATTTCAAAAAATCAAAATTAAAGGCCATGGTTATCTACCGTCGCACGTAAATTGATCCCGCAGAAGAGCTACTGCAACATCTGACAAAAATATAAAACATGTTCTAATTATGAAAATATGTATTATTCTTAGAATTAATATAAGATAAATTTAAAACAATAGATGTTGGTAATTGAGAATAAAGAACCCGGCTAACCCGCCAACCATGAGAATGAGTATCATATTTTTGAAACAGGAAATATTCCGGTATTTCTCTAATATGTACATAATAGATAAATATGATTGCTGGTTTCCTTTTTCAAATTTAGTCGTCGGACGGATTACGATTTGCATTGAAAGAAGGACTAATTTAATTGTCGGGTTCGAATCTAGTCGAAGCCTTAATGTTTTCACGTCTCTTTCCTTTTCGGCAATCACTTAATCGCAGCTTAAGGATCAGTAAATATTTTTCGCGTGGGGCAGAACATTTGGGGGATCAGTCGTGGCTAGAAGAGTATAAAGGAGTGAGCTATAGAAAAATGACTGCTAAGTAACTGTTAACAAGGGGAGATCATCAGAGTATCACATGGGGATCAGGCAGGAGGGTTCGAGGACGTCCTCTCCATGAACCGTCTCGATATAAGCCAACCCCAATTTCGTACGTTAAAGTTTTTTTTTTTTTTTTTTTTTCATCAAGATATTGCCAGGAGATGCTAATCGGTTGTCAATTACTGCAATGTATTGCAGTAATTCTGTCAGCTGTACTCTAAAAAAAGTCACTATTTACAGTATTCATTGTTTATTTGCGAAGTTTTGTTGTCGTTCTCTCTATCAGTTTTGAATGAAACTGATGGATTCCACATAATTCTTAAATTATGTGGAATCGAGAATGACTTTTGTTTCGAGGAATCCACATAATATTGAGCTAATGAATTGAGTGGCCCATTACGTCTCAAAAAAGTTGACCAATCAAATTCCATGCTTCTTGAATTTAAATGTCATCACACCGCATTGAAGCTCATAGAGTGACAGCCGACAGTTCTTACTATTTGCAGCACAACGTTGCACAAGTTTCGCGTTCTCGCTAAATAACATTACCAGAATGCGGCTGAAGGGGTCCATTTTCCGATTAGCGACAATTTATGTGATCTTCGTTCTTCTTCCAGAAGGTGAGCAGTCTAAATAAAATCAAATTCAAAGGTTTAAGTTAAAATGAAACTTTTACCAACAGGAATTCGTCGGAGATACCGAGAAAAAAACAAGGCCCTTCTCTATTAACTTAAACTAATAATGCTTTAAATAGACACAAACAACACGTCAATATCAAATATTTCTTTCAGTAGTGCCGACCAAAGGCTTTCAGCTCAGTTCAAGTTTGTCTGTACTGGCCTTTCAGATTCTAAAACATGTCGCTTGCTTTATGCAAATAAATGTGCGGATGTTTTCGATTCTTTAGTCAAGTACACATTATTCTTAACCAATGCACCGTAACTGTCGCTTTTTTAATCCACTTAAACAATATCCGTAGTCCACAAAGAACCATTAATGAAAGGAAAAAAAATTGAAAATATGTTATTCAATCAGCGAAACAAACATGTTCTGACTATAGTTCCATATCAGACACTTGAAGCGTGTGCTAACGGCGGTCTGTTAAGATCTTCGGATAGTTTTTAAATTAATTAAACTTAATTTCTGAATATTCCATAAGAATTGGAAATTTTTGACCAGGAGACCTTCTCTAACAAACCAGGTTATTTTTCCATCGAAAACGAAAGGGGACGAAATTGAAATATGCGTGACATAGATTGATAACGTGTTTGCCGCCCAGAGTTTGATGCGAGGACCCCATACAAAGTTAACGAGTCTAAAAAAACCCACTGGACAAGTTACATTAGGTGACAGCTGCGGAAATGATTACCAAGGAATGAAGCACGCAATTCAATTGATTTATTTTGAAACACTGATAGTCATTCGGCAGCCGAGAGAAAATTAAATTAATGCCAACTAACAAGGCTGCAAAGAGTGAAATTATTACTGACATTATCAGTTTATGATAAACTGTTTGTCGTTTTAAAAAATATTGCTGAACTCTTAAGTCTGAAGGTCCTTTGAAGAGAGGATCTGGGAAGAGTACTGAGCCATGAGATGGGGCCGCAAAATTCCCCACCCCAAAGAGCCTCTTTTGTCCCAAATATTTTAAGCGCGGCCAAACAGTTGCTAAATCTTAGGTTTACAACAGTATCCATGATTTGTCTTCCTTATTGCAATGTTGTCTGGGACAACTTAATAAACGATAAAATGAAATAAAAATTCTTTGTTAAGTATGGTGTTGTGGCGTTTAGGTGACACATGTTGGATTAAAGCAAATTGAAAACCATTGTTTAAACCGTGTAAAAATCTTTATCACTCATTTCCGGATCAATAAAGATGATGATAAGTCAAGAGTAATAAAATTTCAAATCATGGAGACAAATTGCCAGGATGCAAGAATGCCTTATATAGTAAATCAACTTATCATGACGTATGAACAATTTGTGGCTTTTTATCACGGACCAGGCCTGATCACGGACCTGCTTCTGCATGTTACGTCACAAGATAAACACTACTCCATCTCCAGTAATGATTAATCAAAATGGCGGACCGAATGGCAGTAATTGACAAAAATACAGAAAATCCAAAGACCGATTATACGCTTCAGAATTGTTAGATTTTTCAGTCCTTTTTCAGCGTGATCTACATACAGGATATGATTGCATTCTTTTTTTGGCAATAGTAAAAATTTTAAAGTTTGAATCACAATTATGAAGGATCAAGTTTATTTTTGGCTTCGAGATAAATCTGGAAGGATGTGGAACGAACTCGTGAACCTTCCCACGGTTCGTTCCATGCTATTTGTCCGCTGCTGTTTCCTGTGGGAGTGACGTACCACTGATTCTTACGGCGTTGAAAGTATGTATACATACGTAATCTGCAGGGAAATTTCTTGATCTATTCTCATTTCCGCGCCGATATTGCTCTGAATTGGTGTTTTCTTGATAAATAGGCTGTTTTATAATACTTTGCTATGTAATTTTGCCGGTGGAAACTTCTGTGCAGTTCTCCAGTGAGTGCGCTATCCGGTGCGTGACACGTGAACTCCGAGTTAACAACACCAGCATAGGTTATTAGCATCTGGAGTAGCAAATAAAATATTCTTTCTTGAGAGAACTTCGGCAAACGAGAGTAATTCAATATAAGCTTGGCCCTCCAATCACCTCCTCCACTTAATTATCTGTGATATCTGGTCATCCCAATTCTTTGTTTTGTTTCCGAAACCGACGTAACACATTTTAGCAAAGAATGTCAAAGTAAACAGTGAGCGAAGGAATCCAGTCACTGGTAATCGTGATGAAAAATAAAAATCAAACACCGCCCCTCCATCACAACCTCAACTTTAAAACATATGAAATTTTACCTTTACCCGATCGACAACAGAAATCTACTTATTGCTATTAATCATGGTCTAAATTCCGGCATCGAAACGTGAGACATCTCATATTCGCAAACGTCATAATTCTGAGGTGCGGTTGTTGACACACACAGCGGAGGTGAATCGCTGACACATTTCCACGTTCACTTGGATAAAAACCACGTCGTTATCGGACCTTCAGCTAGTTTATCTTTGACGTGCAAGAGAGACATCTTCGATAACCTATACGAGAATGACGCTGAATTTATGTGTGGCGCTTTTGAGTTGTACACTGTTGTTAGCATTCTGTCGTTGTGGTGAGTCGATATATTCATGATTTTAAGTAATTCAAATTGTGACGTTATTGTTGCTATTACCGGCTGATTTCAATGTAGCAATCGTTTTTTGTGAACGCTTGTATAAGTATGAAGGCAAGGTCTCCTCGACCTTTGAGAAAATGTCTCATTCATGTCAAATGAAAGCAATTTGTGGTCGCTATTCATTTAAAAAACACTCGAAGAAAGGACTATAACTCATATTTCCAGAGACTGATGACTAAAGGCATGAGTTTATTTATTGTAGGGAACTCGAGTTATTGAGGGTAAATATCCACGATTGTTACACCCTAAAGGCCAACAAAATTTGCCTTTGAGTTAGCCATTTATTCACTGAGTAGATTGCGACTAAATAAGGAATTCTAGTCAGTGTAAGTCGAAAGGTCAGGATTAGGTTCACCTATCAACGATTTCATTTCAGCGTGACTTTGACATAACCCAACAATGGCATGTGATTTGAGGTGTTTGGTTTCTCTTTATTTTGAGAAACAGAGAATTAATAAGAAGTTGCAAATTTCCGTGCGCTGATTTTGTAATGAGTATGAATTTAGGCCGGAAAATTTTGGTAGAATGAAAGAACTCTGAAACACGAGGCTTACGAAACACGATCTCAGACAATGGTCCAAGAGAAAGCCATACCGTACAGAGATGAGTAACGACTTAAGCTTGACATGGGTAACCTTAGGGTTTAATTGACAAAATGAAGAAGGAAAGAGTAAAGCTGATTCAATTATCTTCACCTTGCTACGTAGATAAGCTTGATTTCCTTTTAAAGGGGATTTAATGTTATATCAGACCAGTACGTGCTTGATCCTTCGATCACGTGCTTCTTAATATTCCACGAGTAAAGTAGCGTAACTTGTGTCTGAAATGAACTTTCTATTGGTTTACTGATGTAATAACTCAAGCGGGATGTTTGAAGAACACTCGAAACGTTTGCAAATCACTCGTCTCCGACTTGTGATTTACAAACTCTTGCGGTCTCTTACTCTTACGAAATAAAATTGATTAAGTGTTGAATGGTATTAAAATGTGGGGAATCTTATGAATATCTCGAAATAAAATAGTCACACTGTCTCCTTTCTCGGGTCAAAGTTTGCTTTGGTTCACACGGTCATAGTACCGTTATGAAAGTTTTGCAGTCTCGTTTAGTAGGCTTGTGTGCATCACAAAAGTACCAACTTAACACATTTCTGATGGACATGCACCTGTGTTGTGTCTCCTCTTCTGCTTATAAATCTTATGACATCTCTTTTTTTCTTCCACAGGAAATACTCTTCTCTGCTATCAATGTGCCGCAGGTTCTGAGAATGAATGTAACAATAACCAAAATCTAACCTCGTGTAAAGCTGCCAAGCACCTTTGTACCACAGCAATATTTTCGCACTCGAACAACGAACATACCTACTCAAAAACTTGCTTACCACCATTTTTTATCAACGGATACTGCGAAACAATAAACAAGTCAAGACCTGTGTATAATTGTTCAATTTCCTCTTGCGATAAGGATTACTGCAATGGTCCACCACCTACAACACCATCTACAACACTAGCTACAATCGCAACCACAACTGATAACAAGATTCCCACTAAAGACATGAATAACCAAGAATCAACAGCCTCTCCAAAATATACTACTGTCCGGTCTGGAAGCCCATCCACAACTTTTGGCTTAAGCACTTCGGGAATTACAATAGTCTCTTTAGCTCTTTGGAACATTTTAGAGATAAGTTACATCAGTTAACTTAATACGATTCAGCCGAATGTTGATGGAATGTTAATTCTGTTACAGTGAGATTTATTAACACTTTAAACCCAAGGGGTGATCAGCATCTAATTTCTCCTTTCTGTAATAAGGCTAATTCACTTTTTAAGATTATGAGGATAACGAAAATGATCACTAACCTATGAAGCTCTGATTGTAAAATAAATTCTCGATATCAGTACCATAAGGATTGTAAAGATGAGAGACTGGAGAATGTGGATACTATTTATAAGGTGTTAAGGGTAAAACGTTGACCTATATGTAACCAGAACATAACTTACTTATATATAAAATCATCCTTACAGTATTTAAAAGTTTATAAAAGGTTGACCAGGAAACAAGGCGGGCTTTTTTGTGTGTGACATGTTTCTTTGAAAATGGGTATCAGTAGTTATTTCGCCTCGCTGCATCAGTTATGATTACTTCCTCTTCATTTTTTGTCTTCATTAAGCAGTGAAAGTCAAAAGTGAATTCACCAGATATGTTTACTATGAAATATAATTCAAGTCTCGCATGTAAAACTAAGAAGAACCGATTTCTACTTGACTTCAATCTGGACAATAACACTCAAGTCAATTATTTTTCTCAATTTGGCGAAGAGGATTATAACTACGGTAATCTAGCCGTGTGTGTCAGTAAATGGTCTTAATCACGTCGACGTTGTATTTAAAATATCTATAATCTAAGTTTATAACAAGTTCTGATAGTCTTTTTAAATCGAACTTATTAACGTTCTTTTTGAAAGGCCAGAGGAACCCGAATACATTTCCTCAGCGAAAGGGTGTTTTGTCTTTTGTATTAAGTCTAACCAATTTTTTCTCAGATGTACATATCTAGGGAACATGCAAGATTAAATCGAATTTAACAGCCTTGATTTAAGTTTTAACAATGAAATAACGGAATGAATGCAACAAAAACTCCCAGGTTGTTGAACAATTTGTCAATAACTGACCACCTAGCACGTAATTATGTGTCCGGATGTTGATCGAGAATAACTTCAGAAGAATTTCTAGTGGAATTGTGAGCCCTTCATACATACCCATATTTTGTTGTCTCCATGCCTCTCACTTCCTGCTTGATCATCATGTTGAATTCTGGCCTAATACAGTCTGAACCTCGGCAAAGGTAAATCAACCAAGTAGGAAATCATCGATTTGACATTGAGTATTCAATATTTTAATTTCGGCGCCAGCGGTCGGACGATAAAGAATATCAAATCAGACATCAACTATCTTGCGGTATATTTGTGGTGTAAACAGGAACTTTTTCAGGAGAGGAGGGCGCGGAATAAAACGGATGGGAATGGCATTATTACCACTCCCTCCGCATACTTGCTTTCTGTATCAGTTTTATTTGGTTAAAGGATGTCTTAACCTGCATAAAAGGCGCTACGAGGAGTTTTAAGGCGCTACGAGGAATTTTAAGGCGCTACGAGGAATTTTAAGGCGCTAAGAGGAATGTTAAGACGCTGTACAATAAATATGAATTACGGGGAGACTCGCCCTTTCCCAGCTTAGTCCCTCGAACTACGATTTTGAGGAATAATATTCAATATTGTACTTGGACAAAGAGCAATTGTGATACGTAGCAGCTTATTATTGAAACTGGCCCGGGTAAAGAAATAAATTTTGTTAAAGGAATTCTTGTTTAGACTTGTTCAATTTTGTTTTCCAAGATGACCGATATTCTAATTGTTTTGTTTTACTATAATCGTTTCAGTTATCTAATGTTTTGCTTTAAGTTTACTGAGTCTATCGAAAATCACGAACATTTCCTTTTTATACGCATTGCTTGCCAGTTTTTTCTATAAAACAGGTTTTGGCTTAGACAATATAAATATGATGAAGGGGAATGAATCTGGGAATATTGAAATATTGCTGAAACTTGCCTGGCCCTCAATTTCATTTCTCATAGAGTAAAACTGGACTAAGATATGAATGAACCTCAAGTGGATAAAAAAATTCTCCGTCTCCTGGTTTTTCTGGTGTCTTGTGGCGAACGTTGGGTAGGTGTGTTAAATCATACATGACTCTACAATTGCGGAAAAACCCTGTTGAGACAATTTGTTCATAGGCATTACTTCCTAGAATATCAATTCCTCACATTAAGAAAAAAACAAACAAACAAACAAACACCCTTCTTTTCTCCATATTGTTTCGTCTATTTCGTCCAAATATAACAAAGTGTGTTTTCCTGGGAAAAATGTCACAGGACTGACAAATGAAGAGGAAAAGGGGACAGGAAGAGCAAAATACATCACCCAAAATTGAAAATATAAATGCTATTTTTTTCCGCAATTGTAGTATATGGCATATTCACAGTCATTTATTCATCACATTGCGGGTTTATCTGGAATCAACATAGTAATGACCAGCTCCCAGTTGGTTTGTTAGCTCAGTTGGTAGAGCACTGCAACGGTATCGCACAGGTCATGGGTTCAAATACCGTACAAAGGGCCTGAATTTTTTTCAGGCCTTATTTTCTTTACTGCTCGAGTGGTGTTCATTACAGCGAAGATCGCTTTCATATTCACGTATTTATCCGCAGTTCAAATTTGTGAATTTCATATATTTACAGTCATTTATTCATCACTTCACGGGTTTATTTGGAACTAACATAATGTTCCCAGCTCCCAGTCGGCTTGTTAGCTCAGTCATTTATTCACCTCTTTACAGGTTTATATAGAATCAACATAATATCTAGCTCCCAGTTGGCTGGTCAGCTCAGTTGGTAGAGCGCTGCACCAGTAACGCTGTGGTCATGTATTCAAATCCCGTACAGGCCTGAATTTTTTTTTCAGGCCTTATTTTCATCACTGCTCAAGTAGTTTTCATTACCGCGAAGGTCGCTTTTATATTCACAAGCCTTCTACTGCCATTCGTAAACAAACTTCTTAATTTTGAGCTGGCACTAAGATGTTTTCAACATCTTTCTTAATGAAATTTATCAATTAGGTAATTCGGGGACTTACAACATACCAACAAAGGCATTAGAATGATAAAAAATGTAGTACAGGGATTAAGTTAATTAGTCTAAAACACAGTACAACCACAAAATAAATGACAGATAAAAAGCAAAAATGTATTGGATAAGCGTAATGAAACCACAGACATTGTTTTCAAATAAAAATGATGATGAAATCAAAATAATTTGTCAAATTTATTTGTCTCCATGTGGAAAATTCTTCGTGAGACACAAATAATGCCTGAAATTCTTAGTTATAGCACGGAAAATATCGCTATAATAATGTAAAAGCTAAAGACATTATAGATGTGATTTTTGTTGACAGAAAGATTTACCCGACTCTACGTTTGAGCTTACTTGAGTTCATTAAAATTTCATTGAGATGCAGCGAAGGAAGTGCAGTTTTAAGCTTTAAGATAAGCCGGATAATCTTTTGTGACGCCTCAAGAGCAGTCTTTTTCTCGCACTGAAGTACGCTTCTGTTAGTCTGGTTGAATATTTGGGGGCGTAAACATTGGCAGAGAGCTTTACACACCTGAAGGCGTATTTTATAATTTTTAAAATTACTCGTACACAAACTTGCCTATGAAAAATTTCTATACTGCTCTTGGCGCAAGGAGACACAGCTGATTAGAGCGAAGTGAAACAACACGAGCTAACAAGTAATTCACGAGGTGATTTTGAAGTATTTCGTCGATAGAACTGTAATACTGTACCCTCAAAACTTTCTGTTGGATTCCGTTCACTTTATGGAAAAATTATGAAATGATATCCGTTTTAGAGACCTGGTTTTCGTAAAAACAAATTGTTTCTCAATGCGTAACCACTTCTTGTTTTAGGGATTGGAACTGATGGATCCTCATTTTCTAACACTCGTTATTCTAACAACAGGTAAGGATTTGATTTTGATCGAAATTTTCCAAACGTAATATAATTGTGATTAACAAGTTCAATGCGTTACTAAGCTTACTTGTGCGAAGTCTATCATCGTTTCCATGAGCGTGTAATCATCGTGGAAAGGTCATTTGCGCACCAAATCTACAAATTATCGTTAGGTTGATCTTCTTAGCAAAATTTTTGCGCAAACGTGTTCGGTTTAAGCTAAAATTAAGGGACAAGAAAAAACCACATTTGATTGACGCTTAAATTTTGTCAGCTTTGTATTAAAAATGTATGATCTCCGACGCTGCATCATCAAGTTTGTAACCTGGTACAGCAAAATGCTATTTAAAAAGTATTGATTTTTTTCCTATAGTACACAGAATTTCATACTGTCTTTTATTTTGCAGTCGTATTTTATACTTTTATCATTAGTTTATAATCGGCGTTTCCTTCCGGAGGAAGGGAGGACGGACGATATATTCGTCAAAATGTTGAGCCTCGTCCTCCGTGGGAAGCCGACAGAAGATTTTATTACAACATTTCATTGAATTATTCTGTTCTGACGTTTTATATCGAATAATAAACGTCATTTTCATAAGCCATTTAACTGGAGAGCTCAAAGTTGCCTGTTATTTCTTACGTAACAAATTACAACTGAGGCTTAGCTGAAGTGTATAGATGAGATAGAAATGCAAGCCAGCACCAGTCAGTTTGATGAAATCTGTCTGAAAATGAACAGTGCCGGTTTCTTTGTTTCCTCGCTGTTTCTCACACTTTTTAAATTTTCTTTTCTTTAATTTAAAGCCACAATCAAGGGAACAAGATCGTTAGAATGCCATCAGTGTAATGCCACCTTGTTAGCATTCAATTGTCTGAGAAATTCCAGTATTGAGAGCTGCTCACAAGGTAGCGAGTCAGTTTGCATGAGTATTAATGCCTCGGTGACAGATTTAAAGGGAAACAAGTCAAATTTGTTCTTAAGGTATGATGCACTAGAACCAGCTACTCGCAACTTAATATGCTACCTTTTCCCTTCAAGTAGCAATTTAGACCTTACTGCTGCAGAAGAAGAACCTCCAGGATTCTCATCTCCCAACCACAAGTGATCAGTGAGGGAGTGGTTACCTAATACTGAGCGCGCTAAAACTCAAGATTAAACATCCGGGTTCGATCTTATCTGCGAAACTGGCGGTGTTTTGGGCACTTAATGAAAACAAAGAGGAAGGAACCACGAAAAAGAGCAACTTCCTTCCCCGGCCCCTCCCGTAAATTTGCCACTTATTTTGGTACCCTCGCCGCTCTAAAAACTAAAATCATTACTTGGACAGAGTAGAAAGAAACAGTTCGTGAGCAGGACGCTTTACCCTAACACTGTCTCTCTTCACCACTGGGTAATCGAAAACATTTTGGGGAATCCTGGTCATATGTTACAACCGGATAGCCTACCATTGATTGGCATTTCTTCCGGAGGCCAGCATGGCAATATTTCTAGTCGCTTCATTCATTCAGAAACTGGGATAAGCTCATGTACATAACATTGTCAAAACCCTTCATCTCCAAACATAATGCAGCGTAATTGTTTTCCATCTTTAGGCAATGTTCGTCGAAAAGAGAATGTTACTCGCTCCAGCCCTGCAGAGATATCAAAACTCACCTGTGGAGAGAGAGGCCCGGGCTACTTGTAGAGCCCAGCTGCCGCCCGGAATGCTGTGCCACTGATCGTTGCAACCATCGTGTAGGAACACTAGATTTGAATAAATCAAGCACCCGTAAAATTATACCGACATCATCTGGACGGAAAACTTCAAAAAAGTGCTTCGAATTCGAGCCAAAAACTAATATACAACTAGAAATCGGAAGCACTAATGGTGGTCGACTAATGAGGAAACATAAAATTTTCGTATTGCTATCAATATTTCTCTTGCTAACTTCACTGCCTTTTTAAAAACAGTATTCAAAAATGAACTGCTGGTGCAAAGCCGGAATACATATTTTCGATGTTTGCACACACTTACTTTTTTCAAATTGTCCACACAACGTGTGTTCACAAAAATTTTGGAAATGAACATAAATCTGAGATCATCCTCCAATTTGAAGTCATCGAAGTCTTGCAAAACATATTTACTGTTCAACGACTCTTTAAAGAAGGTATACACTATTTGATGCAGAGTAAATCAAATTTACTCGTTGATATATATAATATATGAATGGTTTTTACTGTTCAGGTACGTTAAACAGGGGTCATTTGATGTAAGTTCCATGAAAGTGACATGGCTTCACAAGATTGCAATTTAAAATTTTTTAAGCAGAAATAAAGATTGAAAGATCACTGTCTGTGCATATCAAGTATATTGCTATTTACTTATAAATAAGAACCAACTTGGTCTTTATTGGAAGATCATATATCGAATGGACTAGCTCTAAAAGTTGAGCAAAGTCAAGGTTTGATTATGTAGAAGGAATTTTGAAAGTGGCCTGGTCTCTCATGATTGGCTCATTGTACATGCGACGCATATTTCATTCGAAGTATTCTGGAGAGCAACATGGCAACATGGAATGTAGCAAAGAGGAAACATTTTTCAATGGTGACGTCATCAACGCCTCTGTCTTCAATAGATCATAGATAGGAACCAATCAGATTGAATGTGTAATTACACTTCAATAACTTTTCGTTGACAATTGCTCTTGAACAAGGAGTCCTCAATAATTTTTTTTTCGTATGTGACATGAGTGATCATTCTGACTGCAACTCAACATTTTTTGATTAATCTGCTTAATTTGAGCTTTTTTTAAATTTAAATAACCTTCTGAAACAGAATTCATTTGACTCAATGTTATCCGGAAATTTAGAGCTTTTTAGTGCTGCGAGTTATTATTGAAAAAAGCAATTAATTTAACTCTCCAAGTTAAGGATGAAACGCGTCGGTGGGTTGCTCATGTTGTTATTAATTTGTTTGTGTGTTTCCAGTATTTCACAGGGGTCTTTAAGGACATAAGCTAAATCAGCACCCGCTGACAATAAAATAAGTGGTGCATTGCTAATTCAATTTCTAAACACTGAGATTTTCTTCATCCTACAGTGTAAATCTTTAGGCTTTTCTCGGCTGTGAGAAATTAATTTCTTGTTAAAACAAAATAGCTGGTAAACTAATTTTGAGAGCTGTAGGAAACAGATGAGAGCTTCGCCTGTTGTGAAATGTACTAAATTGCAGTTTACCCACAAGAAAACCGATACCTAGGTAAACTTCTCACTGAGGTTCCCTAAAATCAACTCAGTTCTCAGCCGTGGAAGACCTACAAAATGAAAAATTTGCTTATTGCAATCTTGCTTTTCCTTACCAATCGTTCAGGTAAGTCGCTTCGATATAAGGACATCTTTGCCATGAAACAAGTCATTTTGTTCTATTCGACTATTCGTGCTGATCTTTTGTTGGCAATCGAGCCGGTACGAAACCTTTTTCGGTCAAATACATCGGTTTTAGCATAGTATACATACTGAAAAAAAGCACGTCGTTATTTGGTGCTTTTTCACTTTCAGAAATGAACTAAAAAACACCAAATGCAACCAACATTTCATCAGCACCTTTTTGTATTAATCAGCTACCATTATTTTCACCTCCTGCATTGAAACATTTATTTTTTTGAAAATAATAACATAACAGACTCCTTCTCATGTAAGAACGTGTTTATAGATCTTATCAGGAGCAACCAAGTAACCAGTATATACAATATTGTCGAAGCTAGTGCGTGGGA